TTGGAATCCGTAGTAAGTGAGACATATTGACCTTTACTCTTTACCATAAATTTAATTTAAACAAGATTAAGTTCTATAATTGAAAAATATTTGAAAAATTATTTAAACTACTGTTTATACTACTTTTCTTCCTTCCTAATTTTTCCTGTATTTTTGCCTTCTTTCCATTATTTATGTAGCATTTTGGTTACCAAATTGGCTTAGTGCATTTTATTAGAACTACAGTAGATAGTGGTTTTTTTATTTTATAAATTATGTGAATATATTTCTTGTAGAGAGCATATCTAAAGGGCCAGATTTGTGTGTGACAAGATTGGCAAAGATGATGAATTGTTTTTTCTTTTCAGACAATAAGAAATCTCAAGCCTCAGTCAGTGGTAAGAGTTCCTTTTTTTTGCTGTTGTTGTTGTTGTGTCCTTCCTTCCCCCTGTGCTCCCCATTTCTAAATAGAACAGCTTAGGAATCAGGGCTGTGGAGTACCAAGAAGAAAGCATCTGTGTATTCCCTAGCTGGAATATTACATGCTGCTGGAGAAAGAGGGGGTGCTGTGTTCTTTACCTGATTAATGCTGCTTCTGCACCCTGTGTTCTGTTTTGCCCTCTTGAATTGCCATTCCCTCTTTGACTTCACTTTTCTGTGTGCCCAGGATTCAGATTATGAAAACTGTCTTGAAAGGCTCTGAATTTATCCACTGCATAATAAAAATGATGTTAAAGGGGGAACTGTATAGCAAAGTACTTCCTCTGGTCTGAGCATTGCTTCTCCATTTGACTTCAGGAGGAAGAGGATCCATGGTGGGACCCTCTTGGTGTTTGAGGTTATAAGCTGTATATCCTCATGGACTTTTGTTGGCAGCTTGTTTTGACTTGTGTGTAAATATGGAGGTGGCTAATAAGTTCCTTTTCTTTAATGTGTTTAGATTCTATGTGGGACTTTGGAACTCTGAAGCACTTTGAATCATCTCCACTACGGAGAGTCAAAGATATGCCAGAAGCCTCTGGTCTCACAGGCAGAGCAGTGAATCTTAGTTTCCCGGGGTATTGGATCTAGTCATGGTCTGAAGCCAACAGATCAGAGAGTGGAGGATGGAGAACAGAGGATTTTGGGCAGACAATTGCATGGCTAGCTGCATATTGGTAACCATTTTCTTTGTAGATCCAATGAATGCCCTGCAGAATCTAACTGGGGGTCCCACAGCAGGGGCGCCTGGGATGGGCATGGCTTCCCGAGCTCAAGGAGCACCCATGACTGGGATGAGTGGCCTTGGTCCAATGGGACAGCAGATGAGTCTCCCAGGGCAGCAGCAGCCTCCTGGAACCTCGGGAATGGCCCCTCATGGTATGCCTGGTGTCTCTACAGCTACTCAGCAGAGTAAGTGCTCAGTTTGCTTCAACCACTGAAATTGTTATGTCAGCTTTTCAGTAATAACTCCTTTCCCCAAGGAAAACGTGCTGAAGAGATGTTATACTTCTGGCTAAATCAGCCAAGGGAACTGCTGGGAAGAGCTGATTTTAAGTACTGCTACCTGAAGGATAAATGCCTTCCTTAGTATAGTGAGGAACAGTCTAGCTGTTGTATGAGCAAATTCTTTCATCCTACTGTTGTCAACTTCAGAACATTGTTTTTGTGGAGCTCACCTATGTTTTCTGTAGTACGGTACTCCTGCTGGTGACCTCGGTGCACATTTCCTCCTGCACATTTTTATTCTCTTTACCTCTGTTGCTGACTCAATGTGTGTGAATTAGAAGTTGGTAGTGTCATTCATTCTGCCTCATCCATTTGAGGAAGCAAAAGCACATGCTGCTAATGAAGGATGTTAATCTCGCGCTGTTTTGAGTCTCATGTTTTCAGTACAGTCTTTACTTTCTTTTCAGACCAACTTCAGCTCCAGCAGATTGCCCAGCAGCAACAGCAGCAGCAGCAGCAATTCCAGCAGCAGCAGGTGGCTTTGCAGCAGCAGCAGTTCCAGGCCCAGCAGTCAGCCATGCAGCAGCAGTTCCAGGTCCAGCAGCAGCAGGCAGCGGCCGCTGCGGTGGCACAGCAGCAGCAGCAGCAACAGCAGCAGTTGCAAGCTGTCCAGCAGCAGCAGCAGCACATGCTGAAGCTGCAGATGCAGCAGCAGCAAAACCAACAGCAGGTGATGAGAAACAGCTACAATGGCAAATGAGGTGATCTGTGATGGGTTACTTGTCAAGTGAAGCTTGGCCTGTGTGGAAGTAGAGTATCAGCTCTGCCTGTTACCAGCACTTTTCCACTTTGGAGTAGGGCTTCAGGTTGGCAAGTTAATTGACAGCAATATATTACATCCTGGAGGAAAGCCTTAACAGATGTTTCATTGCTTTCTTCTGTCATAACAATAGAAAATTGAAATCTTTGTCTCTTTCTTTCTATAAATGTCAGGATTGTCTTTCATTCTGACAAGAATAGGTATGTGGGAAAGAACAGCAATTGAATTACTGTAGCAGTAGTGGCTGTTTTGTCATTGTGTGAATAACATGTTGCCACTTTAAAAAATGTGTGCCATGCACAAGATATATATCTATATATATAGACACTGTGTGTATATATAAATATATAAATATATATATTAGGCACAAAAGCAGCCGAGGAGACTTCAGCTGTCATATTCTTGTGCAGTTTTTGGTAAAGGGTGGTTACATTTGAAGAAGTGTGTCTAAGCCCATTTGTACAGGAGAAGCTGATGCACTTCACCTTTGCGTTCGAAAATTGTTTTAGTAGTGGGAAAAGCTTGTAATGTCAAAACTATGGGATGTAGCACTGTGTAGGGTTGAGATATATGGAAAGTGAGTGGATAAAAAGGTTGGGCTTTCTCTTCGGGCTTAAAACATCAGCCTGGTGTATTAGGATTCTGTTTGCTCTTGGTTTATGCTATAAAAACAAGCATTGCTGGAAGCTTTACCATCCTGGCTTCTCCTGCTTTTCAGATGCAGCAGCAACAGCAGCAGCAACAACTACAGCGGATTGCCCAAATGCAGCAGCTACAGGCACAGGCCATACAGGCACAACAGCAGCAGCAACAGCAGCAGCAGCAGCAGCAACAAATACCACCACAACAGATACAGCAGCAGCCACCTCAACAAGTCATGCAACAGCAGATACAACAGATGCAGCAGCAGCAACAACAGCAGCAACAGCAGCAGCAGCAGCAACAACAACAGGTTGCTCAGGCACAACAGTCTCAACTTCCACCACAATCCCAGCCTCAGCCCCAGCCCATGGTATCTCAGCCACAGGCAATCTCAGGACAAATTCCCAGTCAGGTTATGCCTGTTACTCTTACACCACAGCAGTTAAAAGCCATGCAGGTAAGGGCTGGCGACCAGCTGATATTGTTGGTTTGTCGTGATCCTCCAGAGAAATAAAAAATATATTTGATTTTTGCTAATAATGAAGTAGGAAAACCATAACTTGTTAAGAGCTCTGTAACTAACCTGTTATGAGTACAGGGTGTTTAAAGGTTTGTGTCTGGGCCTGCCAGTAGAGAACAGTTTTGTGCCTAAGAGTAGGAGTTCTGGAAATCTGTGAAAACCATTTATCCTGCTAATATTTAAAAAATAATTTCTTGTCTTACTCTTGAATGGACAAGTGAAAAAAAGAAAAAGAAACAAACCCTGGGTGAAGAAAAATTACCTCCATGACGTTTGCTGTTCCAGAACACGAGCAAGTGCTTTGAAGAGCCCAGTGCATTTGACTGGAGCCAGTGCTGGCTCTCCAGCATGCTGGCTTGGCTTCTGCTGCCTTGTTTAGAGGTTTTGGTCACGGTTTAAGATACTGGCTGTTCCTGTCTTGAAGAGAATGTGGACAAGACAATAGTTTTAGTCTGTTGAACCCCTTGCTGGGTCATCCTCTTAATGGTGCAGCTGTTTGAACTGCTACAGTAATTTCTGTTGGGCCTCCATGTGTGCTGTTGAGCCAAAGCTCAGACCTGTTTTCCTTTGGGCCTTGCTGGGGAGGAGTGGAGTGTCAGCCACACTTGGGAAATGGATGAGTTGATGTGTCCACTTTGTGCTCCTACCAGCTAAGCTAGGAGTAGTTAAACGCTGTGTTTGCCACACTGAAAGTTGTAATGAAGGTATAAATATTTGAAATGCTGGTCATTGGCAGGTGCTTGAGGGGAAAAACCCAGGTGTGTGGATAACTGTTTGCCAGAAAGTTAATTATCTAGTACTGTCATAGAAGACCTGATAATAGAGGGAAGAAGTTGCAAGAAGAAACTGAATTGGGTGTGCAGTCTGTGGAAAAACTGTTCTAAGTGTTATAAACATGGGAACTTGTTTTCACTGAGAAACCTCAAAAACTCTAGTCTGTGAGGCTGATCATGTCTCTACACCCTTTTTTATGGGAATCATGGTCAATCTAATCGAAACAGAAGTGTCATACCCTAATCATGTATGTATGTTTACTTTGCTTTTTCTTTTCAAACTCGAGGTAAGAGCTCAGCTGGTGCAGCAGCAGCAGCAGGCAGCGGCAGCAGTGCAGGCAGCTCAGGCCCAGGCTGCTCAGATGGGAGCTTCAGGGCAGGTAAGGGCTCAGGAGCCACTTCCCCTGGTCACAAGGCCTGTAGCAAGTGCATGCTAGAAATGAGCATGGAGATGGGTTTCTGGTGGTTTTCTGAGAGGGGTCTGACATTGGTCATTCCCTCTCTAAATGGGATATGGTCTTCTCTGCTGTTTCTCCTTTGCCTGGAGTCAGAGGCAGGATTTCATTGACAACCTCTCTGTGCATGCTCTCTGTCCCAAGTAGGTACAGTTGTTGCCTGTACTGACACAGGAATGCACATGAGTAAGAAGGCTTCCTGTGGGCACACTACGAGTCTGACTGTTGGTACCTGGAGTGTATCACCTCTTCTTTCCTTAAACTTTCTTAGGTGACTGCTTTGTTGTGTAAACTGATCTCTGTACTGTGACTCTTTGCCTGCTATCTTTAATCACATGTGATTTACCTTCCATCTTCATGTATTGACTATAAAAAATTGTACAGACAATGAAATCTCTCTGCGCTCCCCTTTCATTCCTTTCATCTTTCATTCTTTTTCTGAGTGAAATGGGCAGTAGATCTAGATTGCTCTTGTTCTGGATGTGAATTGTGCAGAAAAAATGGCGTGTGTCACAAGTGCAGAGTTACATTAAAAAAAAACAACCAAAACAAGTGCTGGGTGAAAGCTTCTTGTCTAACACAGTTTTCTTATCCTGCAATACGCTTGTAGCCCCAGTGGTTGTTCCTTGATGTGTGTCTGGGATGAAGGAGACATGGGGGAAAAAAAATGGGGAATGGCTTAAGCTGAACCTCTCATCCCATTTTCCACAAGAATATGAAAGTCTTTCGTGGCTTACCTCTGTAGTGTTTCATATTGAGGCATTTTACAGACATGGGTAAGTACAATTATCACCACTTTGTAGATGAAGAGACAGGCAGACAGATGAAATGAGTCTGACTAGGATTGATGGCAGAGTTCATTTTGTACACCCAGACATTCCATGTCTTCATGCACCATTTTCCTTTCAGTGCACAAGTAATATTATAAGTTCAGTAAGACCTTTGGAAGGTTTTTATGTGGACTGTGATAGCAATTGGTTCTTTAACATAAATCTCCCAGACTTTTATCAGGGATAGTGTCTTGTGCCATCATAACTCTCATGTGGCCCACACCCTTGTTGGTGGCTAAGTTCTGTTTCTGCATTGGTCCTTTGGCTTGAGTCAACATAACATGTAAAAGCTGATGCAGTGGTAAGTACAGTACTGGCAGCAATGGAGAATTCTCTTTCTACAACTGAAATGTGAATTAAAACTCATGTTTGTTTCTTAAATAATTTCCAGGTGGCACTACAGGGACTTAGGCTGACTGGAAGGAGACTCTGACTTTTCTTCTTTTTACTAACTTAATGGTGCTCTTTTCAACTCCAAAGCAGATGGATTGTGTTTATACAGAGTCAACTTAATTCTTGCCCCATTTAGTGACTTCATATGCCAGTGGCTTAACAGCACAGTGCATTTGAAAAGTTTTGGGTGATAAGATGGTTGACAGTGAGTTTTGTATTGCAGCTTTATTCAGTCATGTGTAGTAAACTCGGGGATTGCTCTTTATCTGTCACATGTGGAATTTAGAATATTCCACATACAGAGGCTTTACTCCATTTATGTTCATGCCATCGCAATATGAGTCTACTAAAATTCATGTAACACTGTGAAGTCTAATAATTAAATGGGTTTCTTGTACTTGTGGAAATATTTTCTGTATGTAATACTTACTTTTAAGATTGTGGCTGTCTATAATATTACAATGCAGCTTCAGTGTTGAGAGTGTATAAGAATTCTCTTTAATTTATAAGAAGTTTCTTTTAAAGTAGATTTTTGCTTTACAGTTAGTACATTTTTAGTACATGCACCAGCATTTTTAATAAATCTGCCTTGATTTCTTCATTTGGTCCAGGGAAGCTTTTGTTATAAACAACCCCTGTCCTAATCTTTGCTTGTTAGATTTAATCATAGTTTCTAGGGACTTTCCAACTGGGCATTTTGCTTGATATGTCTGTATTTTTCCTTTTCCATAAAATTTCTGTACATTCTCTGTGCATAAAAGTAAAAGGAATCCCAGGTTTAAACATGGGTTCACTTTGAAGTTCTTCTCTGGACACCATGCAGGTCAACGTTACCCTGCTCAGGTGTCTGGTCCTTGTGAGTATGTAACTCATGGGGAAGCTGATAGTAGGAGTGTCCTAGTGACCAGAGAGCTACACAAGAGCTTGCAGCACCAAGAAAAGAACCCATATAATCAAGTGGAATTAAGTATTAATAAAGTTTAAATCACTATTCTGGTGCAATTCCTTCAGGTGCTCAGAATGCAGAGTGGCTGTTGCTTTTTGAAAATCCGGGCTGCCTTTAGTGGAGTGACAGTGGTACTGAACGTACACATGCTCACCAAAAGCTGTGTATTTACAGAATTCTGAATGTTTGGATTTTAGATGAAAGAAAGTTACAAGTTCAGGATTCTAATTGTTATATTCCACTTCATTTTTATCAAATAGTAGGGTTTGTATCTTACTTTGGAGAGAGACTCTCTTCCTCTTCTTGCTCTCTGCTTTATCTCAGTTTACAAAATCTAGAATTTTATGCTACAAAAATCAATTTCACTCGTGGAGGAGGATTTGTGTTCAGTTAAAATCTTTTTCAAAAGTACTTGAACATTTCTGGTTGTGTTCCTGTTTCAGACAGACAAGAACATCTCCTTTATGGATATATTGCTTTGCATAAAACAAACCCCCTTTCCTGACTCCTTTGTCAAAGCATCCCAGGTTCTGTACATGTAAATCAGCTGGAAAATGGGGAAAAATAGATTAGTTTTGTTAAGAGAGTGGAATTAGTGCCATTTTATACATACACTTCCTTTTGAAAGCACACATTTCAAAAAATACAAAAAAATCAAACCCAAAAATGTGTGCATGTGCACATGTTTGACCAACTGCAATACTACAAACAGCTGAAAGCCTCTGAATTGGAGTTTGTCCTGTTGGTGTTCAGTGGTTTGCCAGACACTTAAACTGTGAATGTGCTTCTACTTTCCTTGGCCTCAGTGGAAGTAATTAAATCTTCACACTTTGGTGGTGTGGCATGAGAAACAGGAGCAAGATGGGACATGTGGGTCACCATAACATCCCTGGGATTCCACACGCTCCAGAGGTCCGTGTGCGTTCACGAGGGTCTAAGATGGGGTGATTGTGCCTGGAAGGATACGTTGGGGGATTTTTCCCCCTAGCAATTTCCCCTTTTTTTTTTTGGTTTTGTTAGGGTTGTGTTGCTTCACCAGCTCTCATGTTGATACTGTAGCTCTTCACTGCACTTCATAGCATCCACCTGTGCTTTGTGGCAGTGCTGGGTTGTTGTGTTTGCTCGTGGTGGCTGTTGCATGCTGTGTGTGCACGTGTGCATGTGTGTGTGATGTCTGAAGCGCTCTCATTCGTTTCTCTTTTGAAATCCTGTCTCTGACCATCCCTCTTTTCCTGGATGGAAAGGGACTGCATTGCTCTGATGTCGTGAACTAACAGCTGTGCTGAATTTGACACTATTTTCTTTATCAGTTATTGCTTTCCTTTTTCAGTCTTGCTATGTTGTATTTAATTTTATTTATTTTTAACAATTGTAAGCACATGCATTCTCTGACTCTTTAGAAACATGTTGCTGGCTGCTTCAGTCCATTTACATAGAACACTAAGCAGGAGTGCCCCAAACCATTTAGAGGAAGGAGGTTACATGAACTTGTAGGTTAGTTAGGATTGCATGGGTTCCTTGGTAACATGTAAGCTAGAAAAAAAAGGTAGCCCAGAGAACTTTACTGTAGATCTTTAGAGTACCAAACAGAAGCTTTTTTACTGATAAGTGAATCTGCCAAAGTTACCTGAATACAACCTCAAAAATATGGTGTATTTGTTGTAAATTCTCAGTATATATCAAATTCTCAGTGGAATATCAAATCTTAAGTAACATATGTATATACATAGGTATATAACATTAAATCTGTACGAATCCTGCAGGCTGATGGTTCTGAAAGGGACTTCTAGACACCTCAGAGTAGCATAGTCCTAATACTGTTTTAAAGTACAAATTCATTCTTAATGCTAACCTCCATCATTTATCCTAAATGATTGTTCTTTAGGGTGTGCTCAGTCTTTACAGCTGGAGAATCAAACCGTGCTTGAGGACGATTATGGACTCAGAATAATTTAGCCCAGCTTAGTAATAGAGGAATGGGTATTGGTCAAAGATATGGAAATCAAAAGGATATATTTGACTTATTCTATGGGTTACAAAAGAAAGGAAATAGCCTCGTCAAACCCAGAAGTCCTTTTTGTTGTCTGGCATTGTTATGCTGTCATAGGTTAGGCTGGTCTGGAGTTTTGCCCACTGTGGAGCATTTGTGCTGACAGTTGCTGTTGAACTGTGTGACAAAGTGTTTTGTAGCAAAGGGGGCACATGCAAATACTGCTAAACCTTTTGAGTCCACAGCGGGGGAAAGCACATCAGAAACCTATGGCATTATAGAGCTTCTTATATGGAGCACAGACAGCAATCTTAGAGCGCTTATTTCCAGGAATTCTAGAAATTCAAGATGTCAGGCAAAATTTAGGAAAAGCCATTGATGGAAATGACAGCACAGTCAACCCTCGACCCACGAATCTGAGTCTACACATCGCTCTCTGGAGATGACTAGAATTCGTGAGGTGCCTGCTGAAAACAGATAGAAGGGTTACAAAAAGGAGTTTGGTTTCTAAGCTAGCATGTCAGGTTAACCTTTAGAGAAAAGCTCACTAACCTTCCCTTCATGCTCCCCCTCCCCCTAATTCCTGGAGGTTGCATGTGCTTCTCATCCTGCCAGGGCACTGCATTTCTTGTTTTGCGATTACTTTTGTCTGTTGTCCCTCTGTCCTCAAAGATGATCACCGCACCTATGGCCCGAGGTGGGATGCAAATCAGACCACGGTTCCCGCCTACCACCGCTGTGTCTGCTACAGCACCAAGCTCCATTCCCTTGGGCGGACAGCAAATGCCACAGGTATTTACTGAGTCAAAGCACATTGTGTCAGGGATTCACTGCCTGGTTGTGTAGCACTGGCTTTCAAGCAAGGGGACCTTCACTTTTGCACCAAACAACGAACTTGCTGGTGTTTCTCAGGGTGTTGGGCTGTTTAGGTTGGGGATTTTATGGATCCCTTTTCATTTTAAATAATAGGTTTACTGAGAGCTTGGGATATCAAATAAAGCATTATTAAAGTGGTGCAGGTCTTTATTTTAACATTTCAAACTTTTCCGTGTTCAGAATTGATTCAGGTCTCAAATTAGAGGTCCTCACTCTATGAGTGTGAATTTATGAGACTGTTGCAAGTCTGCACTGCAGTTTACTGGCTGAGTTGTGACCAGGACCTTGCTTGTCATATGTTCATGCTCTGTACAGGTGCTTTCTTCATTACTAGTAAACTGGGGCTCATTTCAGTTGGACTAGCTCCTTGGCATAATACCAGGGACCCAGAAAAATTCGAGCTGTTCTTTTCTTTCGTGGTTGTGTAGGAGCAGCTGCCAGAAGAATTCCACTTGTACCTGCATCAAAGAGCCTGTGGAGGCAGGCTGGCAGCACCTGTCCAGCTGTTGCTGGAAAGTGCATGAAGCCAGAGTACTGCATTTCTTCTCAGGAATTTGCAGAAGTAGTTAAAGTGACCAGAAAGATTCTGTAGTCCTAGGCAAACACATCTGTTGTTGTTTCTGGTTTAAGCTGGATGGTCATTTCAATCCAGGACAGTGTTTACATGTTAACTGACAAACCTGGGCATAGCTGTGGAGTCAGAGGAGAATCTACTCCGAGCTTTGGTTGGTGTAGCAGTTTATACAGAGACAATCATCTCCCATATGAAATACAATATTTGGTTTGATGGTGAAGCTTTCCCATGGGTATTTAAGTATTAGTTTCACTTATATTTAATATTTGACACATAACAAAAGACCTCTGGTTCCAGCATTCAGTGCCATAGGCTGATCTTTTAGCACTGTCATTGTTATTGAGGAGCTTTGATTTCCAACACCAAGTGAACTGGTCATCAAGGAGCTCTCTCAGTAGGAGGCCAAGGATTGTGAAAATGATGTAGAGGGCTGAACAACTAGAGAAGGCAGAAGAAGAAAAGAAATTTTTCATGAACAATAATTTACAGTACTGTAAATGCTTTCTGGAGTTTTCCTTTCAGCTAAAAATTTCCTCATTACTACCCATCAGTTCCTTGTTGCAGTCTCCTTTCCCTGCCATTGGCTTCTGCATATTTGCACGCTTGCTACTGGGAGCTTCTGAAAGCTCTCACCAGCCTTATCTCCTGAGTGCTGTCCTTGCCTGAGACAGGCTTATCTTCCAGCATAGTGGGCTCTGAACACTAAGAATGGCTTTGATTTAGTGGATGTAAATGCAGACTTTTATCAGGCAAGCCTAAATATCTCCTGGCCAAGACTTCAGCAGATTAGGGCTTGGTGTCATGATCAGGACACTGTAGAGTCACAGAACATGGATATGTTCAGTGGGCTGGCATGGCTGACCATGAACATGCTTGTAGGGCAGAAATTCATATCCCTCAGTGAAAAAATATGTAGTTGCATTTCTTTATGTCTGTTGAAGATGAAGGGTATACAAATGATAAGTAACCACGGCTTGACTCTGGAGTTAAATTTGAGTTCAATGGAGTTAAAGCTCTGGAGGGAAGGTTTTATTTTTCTTCTGGGTTTATAGATATTTTTGTGGTGGGTTTTTTTTGTTGGTGTTTTTTTTCTAAGCCTTCTTTTTACTCTGAGTCAGCTGAAAAGAGCATTACCTAGAAGTTGAAATTTCATTAAATTGTTGTAATCCTAATCCATATCCTGGAAACAATGTAAAAACCTAAACCTGAAGATCTATTCTGCAGAAAGGCATCTGAAATTATTATGTAGCAAATGAACTGCTGTCCAAGCAAAGCAAGGCAGTAAGTTCAGAATTGCACAGTTCTGAATGCATGTTTCTGAAAATGTCACAGTTTTGCTTACGTTGGCCTTTGGTTATGCTCAAATGAAGCTGGCAGAGAGCAAACCTGTTGTAAGGAGGAAAGCTGTTTGCCTGTGCATGTACTTGAATGAGAAGGGATAATGCAAAAGCGTTCAATTCATTCAGTGCTTATGTGCACAGTACATGCTGCATGTCCTTTTCTTCGCTTTTCTGCACCATTTGTAAATTGGTCCTTGCTGTTCAAGTAGATACAGAAGCTTAAATATGGCAAAAAACCTAATGAAACTCCTTTCTCCTTCCTTCTCAAGACATAAGGATTGAAGTAATCCTTTGTAGCCAACTTGAGACACTTAAAAGGGGCCTGATTTTCAGGAAGTGATGAACCACTCAAAGTGGTCTTAGTTTGACCTGAGGAAAAATGGGTGCAGCATCCAAGCTCTAAATTATTTGCTGTTTAATACAATGTTAAATAGACCTGTAAGAAGTCAGGGAATGCTTTTTGCAGTGTCCATCCCAGCTTCCTTCCAAACAGTGGTGAGCTACTTGCTTTCTATGGGAGGCAGACTGTGCTTTTCAATCCCAAAAATGCTTTTCCAGCTGTTGAGGAGACAAATACTGTTAAAGAATCCACTTCTTATGTATAACAGTAAGCACAGCCTCAGTGCTTGTTGATTATGGAGAAAAGGAAGATATGGTAGCTGATTTAAACATCATTTCAGCCTCACTTGTTCTAACTCTTATCTTCTTGGGAGAGGTTGCAAAGGTACTGGGGTTATTGAAGGTTGAAAAAAACCCATCTTAGTATGTCAGGCTGCATTTGATTTTAAACTATTCTTTAATGGCTGATAAACTAACATCTTCAAGCCTGGTTTTGCACAGAGCTGGGGATTGTTCGTGCCCTATTTTGGTTTTTTGTGGAATGAAGCCTCTTGCAGAACTGCAGTGTGAAATTCCAGTCAAAGCATTTCCTGTTGTATTCAGTGTGTACATGCAAAAGTAGACCATATGATACCTTTAAAATGTGCTAAATATCATGTCCATGGATGATTTAATGGGTACTTAACAAAAGGGTGAAGGACAACGCTGGTTTGCAGCACCCATGACATGTCTGGGACTTGTGGGTTTACTGTGACCTTTGCTTAAAATTGATTTAGACTGAGGGAAACAGAATTGTTAATTCATAAAGATGCTAATCAGTGACTTACAGAATGGACACAGAGGTTGCTGAGCCATGATGTATCTTTGTATGTACTTATTTATAGCCTCAGGTCACGAGAACTCTGCATGTGCCTTACACAAACATGATCACTTAACATCTTCATTACTGTATCATGCTCCAGGCCACTGTACAGGTTTTCTTGTTTGGTTTTAAGTGATCAAGGGAAAAAATGTGTATTAGAACAAATGTGAGAAGTTGCTCAAATTTGAGCATCATCTGGCTCTGGCACTGTAGAGTGTACAGAAAAAACTTAGTTGTTACCCAGAGTTTGGTGCTGTTCTGGAAATGCTCTTATTCATCTCTTTGTCCTTCAGGCACACCTCAGCACTCTCCAAAGGTCAGAAAACTACTTCATTTTTTTTTCCACACAGGTGTTCAGTTGGAGTGTTTCTATCTCACACAGTTTTTCAAAGCTGAATATTTAAACAGGATGTTGCTGATATGGCTTACTTAATTGTTTTTCTTCCTGAAGAAAACCAGTTGGGATGCTACATTCAAATCTGACTGACCTTTGAAGACTGTAATGAAAAGGTCAAAATAAGGATGGGGTTTTATGACTCTTAATTCTCAAGTGAGAACTGTCTTTTCTTCCTGCTCTTCTTGAGTTCTAATAAAGTACAGGTTTTTTACATGGTACTTCTGACATTTTAATTGCAATATGATGGTTTGGGAAGTGAAAAGCAATTAGTTGTTCAAATTATGTGCAATTTCAGTGGTTATTTCTAGTAAAGTTGATATGAAGTACTGCCCTGAGAGCCTCAAGAGTGATACAGATGGGACTGTCCTTATGGGGGAAAAAGGAAACTAATGCTTTTCATTTCTTGTAGGCCTGAGGATCCGCTTCTCTCCACAGGTAAAGCTTTTAGTTAGGTTCCCATCCTCTACTCCTTTTTGTTGTTATTGATCTTATCTTTTCCCACCTTTCAGGTCAGCCAGAACAATATTACCATGATGTCATCGCCATCTCCTGTCCAACAAGCTCAAACACCCCAGTCAATGCCTCCACCACCACAGCCACAGCCCTCACCTCAGCCAGGCCAGCCCACTTCCCAGCCAAATTCAAATGTCAGGTGAGCCACACTGCAGCTTCTGAGGGCTTTTGTTAATGCCATAAGGGTGAGGTTTTCAGAAGCATTCAGTATATATCTTACTCTGTTTCCAATGAAGTGAAAGAATTTCAATTCCAACTGCACTGAGAGCACAGGTGGGATTGTGCTGGATACACTCTGAAAACCCCCCCTTTTAAATAAACAAGCTGTGTATGAAATCCTCGCCAAGACAGAACTACAGAGTGCCATAACAATGCTTACTAAAATCATATCTGCTCACAGGCTGGTGATCCTTCCTCGTCAGATTCTGCTAGGTTTGATTATGTGCTTATTTTTCAGCTCTGGCCCTGCTCCCTCACCCAGCAGCTTTCTCCCCAGTCCATCTCCACAACCATCCCAGAGCCCAGCAGCTGCACGAACACCTCAGAACTTCAGTGTCCCATCCCCAGGTCCTCTAAACACTCCAGGTAAATGATCTGAGAGCTGTACTGCAGACCATGAGTTGGGCTGTGGTTTGGTAACTGTAGTAGTTACCAGGAAACCTGCTGGTTTTGGCACTTTAAAGAGCTCCACAAAGCAGCTGGCATTGCAAGTAGTGAACATGTCACATGCACCACATAACACAACAGCTTGGGTACCTCAAATCAAAATCAACTGAAACCTCTTTTCTCATCAGTGAAATATGTAATGGATTTTTTCTCCCCAGTCTTTTGAAAAAAGAATGATACTTAATTTAATGGAGCAAGTTCCTTAATTCCATCCAGGAAGGAACCCTTAGCAACAGCATAGAGTTGTAAAGGATGTAACTATTTAATCACAGGCAGCTGCTTTGCTCCAAAACACTTCTCCAGGTGTGCTGTGACATTTTGCTCTTCTCCCTCCCAGCTACAATAAGCAGTTTCTGATACTGAGAGTGGAGGTAACATACTGGCTCCTTCTCACACCAGAGTTGTGTGCTTTGCAGGTTGGAAAGCACTCACTTAAGGAAAACTGCAGCAAATTCACTGTGTTTATTTAATGTTTAATGCATCAGAGTGAGGGCAAAATGAGGACCTAGAAAATGGGTATATGGAACTTTGGAACTTTTCAGAAAAAAATGGTACTACCTGGGAATTGTTGTCCAGTCCATAGAACATGATATTTCTATACAAAGAAGAGAGGATTGGGGAAGCACTTGAACTATGGAGGGCATCCAGTTATGGATTTGGATGTTTGACATGAGCTACACTTTGAGAGTGTCACGTTTCAGATCTAGATTCTGAAATGTGAGAATAATGTTCTGCAGTATCTTTTATCACCCTGTGACCTGCAGTCTTCCTTCTTGCCAGGAAATCCAAATTCTGTCATGAGTCCAGCCAGTTCTGGTCAGTCAGAGGAGCAACAGTATCTGGAAAAACTCAAACAGCTGTCAAAGTACATTGAGCCACTCCGGAGGATGATCAATAAAATAGATAAAAATGAAGGTGAGGTTCCCTATATTTAGCCATGCATTTCTCTCTGTCATCTCTCTCTTCTGCTGAAAGAAGCAGTACTTTGCCTTATGTCATGGTTTCTATTCCAGGGATTAAAAATGTCACAGAAAGTTTGTTGCTCTTTCTTGCCTATAGCTAAAGATTTTACTGTGAAGAGTGGGCAAAATCCTTGTTCTTAAATTCTCATGAGTTTTCCTTTACTTCTGATGGTTTTCAGACACATAAAGCATATGCAGTGGATATATTTATGAGTAGATGAAAGATCTGTGGTCCACACTACTGTCTTCAGTGTTGGCTTGTGTATACATGAAATTATGTACTTTTAACAGTATATTGTATTTCTGTCTACAAGAATTGAAGCTATCCTTGTAGTCAATGTTTATGTCTCTGGTACTATTTCAGACAGGAAGAAGGACCTGAGTAAAATGAAGAGTCTCTTGGATATCCTGACTGACCCTTCAAAACGGTAATTCTTTCCTTTTGGCTGGGCATTCATTTTCCCAGCTATTCCAGAAATTTGTTGTTTAGCATCCAGCCACGTTTACCTTGAGGCTCTGTGGGGCTCAGATAGCAGGAACACTTCAGCTAAGGTGACCATTTTGTGGTGATGAAGTTTCTCCTGTTCCACAGGTGCCCCCTGAAGACGCTGCAGAAATGTGAAATTGCTCTGGAGAAGCTGAAAAATGATATGGCTGTGGTATGTAAGGCTTTGTGCTAGTAAAGATAAGCAATTAATTTGTGAAAGGCAAGGTAACTTTTTGCATTTCTTGTGACTCATGCTGTTAAGGCTTCAAGTACGGTTGAACAAAATAGGAAAACAGGAAAAAATGGGCATTTACTTCACACAAGTCACCTGTATGTATCTTTTGACTGAACTTTCAAGTTCTTGTGCTTTGTGCCAAGACTCAAATACTTCTTTTGGTGAACTTTTGTGGCTGATTTCAGGACTGCCTTCCTAAACCAAAGCGGCAGATGTCTTTTTGCTTGTTTGTTTTCTCCTCCCACACTGTTAATGTGTGCAGTTTGGAGAATCATTTGCATTCCATGCATTGGAAGTTTACCGCTGCAAAATTTTGCAGAATTAACGGTAGATGTTTCTTTTTTGGTGATGATTGAAAGACAAAGGGTTTCTGTTGTGTTTCAGCCTACTCCACCGCCCCCCCCAGTGCCCCCAACCAAACAGCAGTACTTGTGTCAGCCACTGCTGGATGCTGTTTTGGCCAACATCCGTTCCCCAGTGTTCAACCATTCCCTGTACCGAACGTTTATGCCGGCCATGACCGCAATCCATGGACCGCCCATCACGTACGTATCACCCACCTGCTGTCTGTCCTGGCCATTCATTATTTGGGGAAGAATGTTTATTTGTAGAAGCTGTTAAAAGAACAGAGGGGGTTTTGCAGGGGGGTGAGTTATAGCTTTCCTTTTGTGACCTGTAAAGTATTTGACAAATACATTTTCACCTGGTCCTTTTGTGGACTGTGCTTTACACAGGGCCCCAGTTGCTTCCCCTCGAAAACGGAAATATGAAGAGGATGAAAGGCAGACCATTCCAAACGTCTTACAAGGAGAAGTTGCAAGATTAAATCCTAAATTCCTGGTGAACCTGGACCCTTCCCACTGCAGCAATAATGGCACAGTTCATCTCATATGCAAGCTAGGTAAGCAAGGAGACGCTAAGGGCTGCATTCAGAAAGAAGTGCTGAGCTTGATTGTAGGAATTTGAAACAGTAGGAATTTGAATCTCACTAACCTGTGACTTCTGCATGAAGTCTGTACTTATATCTCTACTTATCATAGCACTGCATCATCACAACATTCTGCACAGCCTGTTTCAGGGTACTCCTGGGGATTTCATTCACACTGATTGATCCTTTCTCTGCACTGAAGTTGCAATTGGTAACCTCAGTGTGTAGAAAATTACTTGTTGCTAGCAAAATCTTGATTCCTGATATGTGAGTTGTTGTGCCTCCATCAAGTAGGACAGAGCTAGAGAAATGGTGAGTTAATTTTTGGGATGGTCTATTTCAGTTTGTACTAATGATCACTTGCAATGGTGTATGTTCAAGAAATTAATTCAGATTGCTTTTTTTAAAAAAAAAAAATCCTAGCTGAATAATCATAAAGTGGTATAGTCTGTTTACTTGTTTTGTTCTTGGATTCCAGTAAGGAAAATAGGTTCTTTCCTCCCCTGCTTCCTTTGAAGTGTCAGGATTGGTTTAGTCCTGAGCATTGATACATGAGGCACTTAGTTTTCAGAAATGAGGTGTCTAACTTGGTGAAGTTGAGCTGATGAAATGGTGAGAATGGCAAGGTGCAGAAGTGTCTAAGAGATGGAGCTATGTTTGCCAGGCTTTTCTGCCAAAAGTTTAAGAGTGTTGGTAAAGTCAGCAATGAGATTTCCTTTCAGTAAAAAAGGAGATGTACGGTCAGGTTCATCTTTGGGGTTCAGAGGCTAGAAACCAAGCTGTATTATGCACAAAACCCTTCTATCCAGCAAGGAATGCTTTGTTCTGATGGGAAGTGTGTTTGCATCCTAGATGACAAGAATCTTCCAAATGTCCCACCACTCCAGCTCAGCGTTCCAGCGGATTATCCAGATCAGAGCCCTCTGTGGATAAAAAACCCCAGACAGTATGGTATGAGGCTGCTGGCATGACATTTGTTGGGCATGTGTATGTGGTAGTAGGGGGGAAGTGTGAACACTTCATGTTACTCTTGTCTTTTAAACTTTTTTAAATATACTTTTTTATTATAACTTCCTTTATCTGTTATCTTTTTTTTTTTCTTCCAGCAGCCAACCCCTTTTTGCAGTCAGTGTATCGATACATGACTTCAAAACTATTGCAACTTCCAGACAAGCATTCAGTCACAGCACTCTTGAACACCTGGGCACAAAGCATTCGCCAGGCCTGCCTCTCTGCTGCATAACAGCTCACTTTCTAAATCATGAAGCAAGAAAAAAGGTCTCAACAGCTGGCCTCTTCCACATATCACTGGAATTACCACAGTTTGGGGAGGTTACTTCAGAAGAAAGAAGCCTTATGTTGTTTTGTTTCTAGGTGTCAGGTTCAGTAGAGAGCCTGATGTTAGACTTAGCCTTCATGCTTTTTATCTTCTGCCTCAGTGGACTTTTGCCAGCATTCTCAAATATACAAAATGTGTATATATGGTTCTTGAGACTGTATTTCAGATGAGTTTTTATTGTCTTCTTAGAGAAGAAATTATTTGTGGACTTCCATCAGGGAGTCTGGTATAAGAGGGAGTAGGGAGAAAATGTCCTAATTTGCTTCAGAGTTTGCTCAGTGCCAGTATTCCTTTCACACTGTATGTTTTGTGACCTCATACTGCCCCAGAAATAAATTAGCTGCAACTAGAATGTGCTTGCAAACTTCTCAGTGGTTGTAGGAATCATTTTGCCTTTTAGCTTTGCCCAGAGATGGGATAAATTACAGCCTTTTAAGGCATCCCTCAAATATGTGAGATAAATCTGGATAATTACACCTGGGGGTGGGAGTGTGGAACTAAACAGAGCAAAAAAAGTATTTTATAGCTTATTTTAAATGCAACTTTGTATAAACGGTTTTTGGTTAGCATGGATCACATTTCTCACTCCAAAAGAGTGAGGCTGATGAGAAGGAAAGAGATACTAATGTGCACACTGACTTCCTCTGTGAATTCAGTAAATGTGTGTGTAAAGGTGGGGAGGGAAAAACCAACAGTATAAAGGCCAAGTGACACCAGTCAATCCAGCAGGCTCACAGCTAGATTTCTTTTATTAAGAGTCTTTCTGAGGCATCTGGCTTCCTTTGGGAGTTGATGCAGTGCAGGGAAAATGCTTCTATACTACATCAGTTTGTTTGAACAGAAAAGGCAAAAAACAACAGCTCAGGAGTAGAACTGACAATTAGCACATTGTGTCTTGAGCAATGATAGGCACTCAAGTCAGTCATCAGCTGCCTTATTGTTGGGCACTTCTAATGAAAACATTTGCCACAAGTAACTTTAATTTCATGCATTTTTCATATTTCCACCATGCTTATAAATTGCTCCCTCTTGATTTCCTGGTGCAGAATTTCAAATATCAGATGTTCCCATTATATCCTGCCCCATGTCTCTGTATTGTGCAGCAAACCTTGAAGAGTAGCTGGGCTCTCTTACAGTAGTGTCAAGAAATTGCTATGACCTCCATGAATCTATGTGGTGTCATCAGTTTTAGGATGTTTTTAAATGTGGGTACTTAGTAAGCACTGACTGAGGCAGCAGAGTGCTATCAGTATTTTGTACATGAACTAATGCATTATCTGTTTGTTTCTATTGTAATAAATTTATTATTATTCCTGTGTTAGACATTATACTGCTCTTCCCATGTTAGATACCAGTTCTGTTGTGCCACTGGATGATGGTTACTGTGTTCTGTGGTAAGTGAAAACTCACAGGCTTTGCAGGTTAGGGGACAAAATCATAAATGGCTTTGTGTTCTATGCAACACTATCCTTCACTGTCCTCTGAGTGAACTGGAAGATCTGGTCAAAAGGTTAGTAATGGTATCTACAAATGACAGATGTAGTTTTTTAACTGGTAAAAAAGAGAGAAATTATGACCCAAGTCCTGCGACCACAGAGCTGATTATGGAAGTAGTGGGGAGGGGCAGTTTAAGCAAAGAAGTCAACAGAAACCAAGGCCCTCATGTATCAAATGCTCAAATCAATGCAGCAGGACTTATCTACAGCAGGACAATGTAAGTAGGAAGTATCTTGTCTTACGCTGGCGTAGAACATGGTGAGATGCAACCCTCGTGCAGCTCTGAGGCACATTGATGGATTTGTTAGTAAAAAATGGTTATTGCAGGCTTATTTTCATGGTACTGAATGCTCTGGTTCCTACAGCATCATTTTGGATGTTTATTTACATTTAGCTTATAGGTGTTTTTCTTACTGAACCTCATTTTGCTTTGATTAGCCTCTTTCCTGGGGGCATTAATGTGGCGTATTTTTTAGTGAGCACAAAATGGTTGGTATTTTTTGGTATTTTCCTGACTGAGTTGCCTTTGGAAGCTGATCTTTGGATGAGGATGTTTTGAAATCACCAGGTAGCCTCTGAAAACATGTGCTTTTTATGTAGTACCCTGAGTTGTGCCACTTTGTTAATGAGACCCATGCCCTGCTGGGCAGGGATGGAGCTGAGCTCCATGGGTGTTTGAGAGCTGGAGTCAGATGCTGCTGTGAATGTTACAATGCACCTGTGTGGGTGCTCTCATGTTTTCAGTAAATGTTTTCTCTCCTTATGTCACTGCTGTGTGCAGTCCTTAATATTTTACAGGAGTAATGCTGCAGAGCTGCCTGACATGGGAACCGATGGATTCCTTAAGCAGTGATTTAACAAAAGGGTATTTCTTGCCCTTTTCCTGTCAGGTGAAATGGGCAACAAAGTATTTGTTGATCTCCAAGAGAGGAATGTTCCTATCTGTTGCCAAAAACTACCAGGTTAGAGTTGCAGTAAGGCTAGAGGGGAAACAGAGCAGTAATTTCTGTTTTTCTAAGCAAGTGCCCAATGAGCACAGTGGCTTCAGAAGACATGCAAACAACATGAAGTGGTTTATGGAGGTAGAAGACATAAACCTGCCAGGGCTGGGGAGGCCTCAGGCAGGCACCAGGAGGCTTAAGCCCAGCACTGGGCTATGAGATGCTACTCTTGCTGCTTTGTCCCACCTTCTGTGTTTTCGTTTTTTAATATCTGTGCAACTTCCTATAAATTTCTGTGTGCACTGCTATTTCTGTTACCTTTTGTAAGCATGCTTTGGAGGTCCTACAGTCAATTCTTGCTTTAGAACAGTGTAGGAGGCTTGAAAGCAGTTATTGCTGAATCAAAAGTATTTCTCTATATGGCATGGTTTATTTCAGTTTTATAAATACTGATGGCTCATTCTTCCCCCCCTCAAAAAAACCAAACAACTCATTCACTAGATTCTCTAGGAATACTTTTATAAAAATAAAATTTACATTGATTATCTCCACCAGACCACATCATTGTTTATAAAACTCAGTTAACTTTAGTATTAAAAAATACCTTAGTAAGATCTGATATAATTAAAACATTTTAGTCATTGAATCCCAGGCTCATCCTTACAACATTTATTTTTACAAGTGTAAGCCAAGAGAAGGAAACTAGTGTTCATGTGGTTTCCATCCTTCAAAGAAAAAAGTCATTATAACAGCATAAAGAAAATACCCAATTAGGATAATGAATGTGCAGCCCACTGGCCCAATGTAAAACCAGGATGCAAGGAAGTAGATCATCAGCAAAGAAATGAGAGTCCTGTAGCTGGCCAAAAACCTCAGACTGATCCTTGGTCCCCAGTTCTGGCTCGTTCTGTCCCTCACCATGGGACTATACCTGATTTTCTGTACGAGGTGGGGGTTGATGAGATGATAGCGACAAAGTCTGCCAACAAAATCTTCCCTGGAGCAAAGCACTTCCATCTGATCAGCAAACTGAGGTAAGAAACATTAAGACATTAGTGCTGTAATGCAACTGCTGTCATAAAGTAAGTGTAATTTATTTAACCTATTTTATTCATAGGATGAGGACTATAGGAAATACGGGGCATCAAAATGCACTTTAAACAGCAGAACTGCTTTAGTGCAGACTTGGCCTTGTGTTTGTCATACCTATAGGAAGGAAAGAATTTGCTTTTCCTGTTTGAGAAACATTCACTCTGAATGATACTCCACTGTTCATCAACCACGAAGAATACTTCAATAACAAATTTGCAAGGGAAAACACAGAAGGAGGCAGTGCTGTCCCTACCCTTTCGTTCAGCACCGAGGACAAGCGGAACAGGAGGCGGACAAGGGTGGCGTTTTCGTAGCTGCGGATGGGCTGGAGCTCGGCATCTCCCTGGTACTGCACCTCAAACCGACGCAGGCCATTTATGATCTAGGAGGGGGAAAACAAACACCTTATCTTGGACACCTTTAAGCTGGCACGTCTCTTACCCCCAGGTAAGTTGCTGTTTCTTTTCACTGCAGATGGGCAACTTGTGCTTTCAAGAGGAACTGAGGGGGTGATATGGAATGTTTTTTCTCTCACCTGGTACCTGCCAAGGGGTGTGAGAATGAGGCCGTTCTCGCTTTCAATGCAGTCTGGAAGTTGTTTTTTTCCATTCTCGTCTTGAGCTGTCCCACACTTCAACATCATCTGGGTCAGCTGGGCTTCGCTCAGCTACTCGAGAATAACACAGTTCTAAAGCAGGTGTTTCATCTACCCCGTTTCATTTATTTCTCACTTCACAAACTCATTAGCACTGGAAGTCCTTGAAAGCCAGCTCAGATACCAAGAACTGCTTAATAGCACCTTGGTTAGACATTAAAAGGAGATAAAAGTCTCCAGGTTAACCCAAGAAAGGTGTTCTGGTTTGTATGTCCCTTAGCTCTCAAAGAGTACCAAGCAGCTGTCTCCTAGGTCAGTGCTGTGTAAGGGAGAGTGGCTGCAGAGAAATTCATCTGTTCTCTTAACTGTTCATCCATAGCTGCAGGTATTTGTTCAACTTCTAGAGCTCTACATTTAGAAGACACTGGACTGTTTTTAAAAGAGCCTTGCCTGTTTTTAAACATGAGGACAGGGCCAAGTAAAGGAACAGGTTTGGTATAAACCATACAGTCCAAAAGAGTGGCCACTTGAAACAAAGCAGGCTTGATATTTAGAAATTCAGAGGAGCTAATACAGGGTTTTGAGGTGGTCAGGTGAAGTCAAGAGTCTAGAAGACTTTATCAGCAAAATTTGCCAGCAGAGCCTTTGAATGGCTTTGTGACCCCACAAAGAACAAGAAACACAGACATACATTTGAGGAATCCTGACTCTTGTTCACACTGTACAAGTTCTTAGAAAGATGTTACGTACCTTAAAGATTTGGCACAAGTATTCCAGTGCCTTCTCTAAATATTCATCTGTTTTTTTGATGCTGTCTTGCCCAATTTCATCAAGGTCATTGCCTGTGTAGGAACCATTCAGGTCAGATGGTGTAAATCTAAACCATGAAAAGAAGGACTGGGTAGCCATTGTCTCTGCAGAATGGTCTGATATGGATTTTGCTGTCTGCTGTGCCTGACAAATTAACTGAGCCAGTTTTAACACCTAAAACAAACAAACAAAAAAAAAACCAAAACAAAATTGTGTGGGACTGAGCATCAATACAGAGATAAAACTGTGCCTTGATAGCTGGCAGTGAGAGCAATCCCAGCAAATTCACTCTCTTAGCTTATATGGACTTGTGCTGACTATTAGTTGCATTTCCCATAGGGAGAAGGTAGTTCTTTGATGTTGAAGCATTTTAAAACCCGAGTGCTGCTCAGGTTTCCTCCTGCTATTTTTATCTGA